TTAGTCGACTAAAAGTCTCAACATTTTAGTCTAGTTTTAGTCAATGAAAACTTGACATTTTAGCAATAAGATTATTATTAATTAACCGTACAGTATTAATTTTGGCAGCCATTTTTAATTTAGTCTTAGTCTTACTCAAATGTACATTTTAGTTCTATTTAGACAACCTTGTCCTGTTTTTGTTTAGTCAAGTTTAAGTCAATGAAATTTATGTGCATAGTAGAGGCGTGTAGAGCAGTCGCAATAACATTTTGTCTCCTTTTTTTGACGAAAATAAAAAGAGGTTTTTGGTCAAGTTTTTATCTTTTTGAATACATTTTAGTCTCGTCTTATTTCGTCAATGAAATTGCATGTTGATATAGTCTTCGTTATCGTTTATTGACCTATCGTCTCGTCTTCGTGGGAAAAAAGCTCATCAATGAACATTTTTCGTCATAGTCTTCGTTAACGAAATTAACACTATCTTAAAGGGACTTTGGAAGTATCAACTGAAATAAATGCTTCCCCCTTGTGGACACTAACATAATAGGCAACTCTGGCCCCAGAGAGTGATTGTAAATTAAGTTTACAGGAAATATGCTTGAAATTTCATTCTGCATCTTCTTAGATACTGCGATTTCATTGTAATTCTTATCACAACATCACTGAATTCACAGTGTATGTTGTTGTATATGATATCATTGTAATCCTTGACCATACTAAAAGTCTCAACATTTTAGTCTAGTTTTAGTCAATGAAAACTTGACATTTTAGCAATAAGATTATTATTAATTAACCGTACAGTATTAATTTTGGCAGCCATTTTTAATTTAGTCTTAGTCTTACTCAAATGTACATTTTAGTTCTATTTAGACAACCTTGTCCTGTTTTTGTTTAGTCAAGTTTAAGTCAATGAAATTTATGTGCATAGTAGAGGCGTGTAGAGCAGTCGCAATAACATTTTGTCTCCTTTTTTTGACGAAAATAAAAAGAGGTTTTTGGTCAAGTTTTTATCTTTTTGAATACATTTTAGTCTCGTCTTATTTCGTCAATGAAATTGCATGTTGATATAGTCTTCGTTATCGTTTATTGACCTATCGTCTCGTCTTCGTGGGAAAAAAGCTCATCAATGAACATTTTTCGTCATAGTCTTCGTTAACGAAATTAACACTAATGCAGAGGCTGGAGAAGTAATCTTCTAATTATGATTATTCAGATTTCCATAGAAAGAAAAATGTATGGATGCATGTGCCTCTTTGGAAAAATGACTACCAGAGGTCTTGGTATCAGTATCATTTTTGTCTGGTATCCAATTCTGTTAGACTCTGGACCTTCTCCAGCATCTCTCGAATCAGCCACCATGCTAATCGATAGGAGCAACATCAATGTCTCCCGGGACATGAATTCACTGGTAATAGCCAGGTAACAATCATATTGGCCCTAAACTGCGGCAGTGTTTGTCACTGCTGTGAAATTAAACCACTATTGAAACATTTCAATAGCCAGTCTATCTTAGGCAATAGTCCTCCATTAAAGGAGTATTTCACTTCCAGAATGAAAATTCTGTCATCATTTACTCCCCCTCCACTTGTTCCAAACCTGTATGAGTCTTTTCTTATTCTGTTGAGCACAAAAGAAGAGATTTTGAAAAATTCTGGTATTCGAACAGTTGATGGGCACCGTTGACTTCCATAGTATTTTTTATTTTTTTCCTACTATGGAAGTCAATGGTGCCCATCAACTGTTCGGCTACCAACATTTTTCAAAATATCTTCTTTTGTGTTCAACAGAATAAAAAAAGACTCATACAGGTTTGGAACAAGTGGAGGGTGGGGAGGGTTGACTGATTGCACAGACACTATTGGAAGAGAGCTAAACTGGATTATGACATCACTGAATCCTCAATTAACTGACTTTAGCTGGAAAAATGGTTCTTTGTTATTGTCTCCTTGCATTATTGACAAACTATTTTCCTGTTTGACACTGTAAAGCTGCTTTGACACAAACAGTATTGTATAAAACGCTATATAAATAAAGGTGACTTGACTATTAATCCGCAAACGAACAGTGCATGTGCGCTCTCGACACACTGATCACTATCACGTAATATTTCTGCTTGAACATTGTTCAGTATTTCCACGTAGTTGTCCAAATTAATGTACAGCGAGTGTTTTATAAATGATGCTTGCCAAAAAGAGTGTTCTGTAGAAGTTTGTGAGGATCAGTGGTGTTTATGTTGATATGAGCATCAGAGGCTCCAAACCCAGACACGATCACGTGTTCTGACAGAGGAACCATTTCACTGATGACGTCGACCCCCCTTCAGATCACTGAGTTTCCACACATTCAGAATGTTTTCATTTTTTATTTGTATTTTGGTGTGTTTGGTGATTCTGAATGGAACCGTATCAAAGTTTATATACAGTCCTTTGGCATCTCCCTGTGGCCTTGTTTGGTATGGCATGTTATAACTGAACTTTACGTACTTTTAAGTACTTTTGAAAGTTGTAAAGAATATCTGCAGTGACATTTTTGCAAAGTATGTTTGCAAAAAAGATCAATGTTTAAATTGATCTTGAATGTGTTTTGTTTACAAATAATTACATGGAATTGAAAAGTAATAACACAGGTTTTTGTGAATAGAAAAGTTTGGGAGGTCTTGGAGTAAAAAAGGTTGAGAACCACTGCATTAAAATCAATGAAGCACTTTACACAGCACAATTGATCTCTTATTTGCATTGCGTCTACATTTTATTATGAGATGATTTGCAAGCATGCAGAACTCATACTGAACAAAAACTCCACCGTTTTGAGTGTGATTGAACTTAAATGCTTCTGACTGGCCACTGCGTTCAAGGAATCAACAGGTATGTCTGTGATTGGCTACTTTGCTCAACGCTACAAAAACACATTGTAAATAGAAACCTTTGGCGCTTCCCAGAGCACGAACACAAATATGCAATGGAGTGTTTACCAAATCGGTTTTGCCAATATGCTATTATTATAGCTTCAACTGAGGGTGCTTAGCACCCTCATAAAACTGGGCCTGATATTATCTATCCCACCCATTCTCAATGCCACAAAAAAAGATATATCCCTCTTTCCAAATTCGGATTTAACCCACCATCCAATGTCTAATGCAATAAATTTTTTTGTGTGTGACTGTCAATCAGGCCTTAAAAACAAGAATAGCCTGCATTTTCTAGTCATTTATGCATATTTGTATGTTTATTTTCTTTATGTTTTCATTATATATCCATTTACTCAAGCTCAGGTGCACTCCTATTTTTTTAACTGTTTAAATATTTTTACATATGTACAGTGCACAGCATAAATGAGCACACCCCCTCTAAAACTGAACAAATTCAGCAATTACTCTTTACTTAGAAGACATGTTAGGGTTCTTTGGAGATGTAATGTTCCAACAAGCCTGCTTGATCAATTACCAAAGAAGAATGTTAAAATTATTCAGCAAAATAAGATTTTCTTATCAAAGTGATAAAATGTTCTGTTGCAAAAATGAGTACACCCTCCTGAAAGTTACTAAAAAAAAAATTTTTTTTAAAAAAGTGTATAGGTTTACGGCTATTTTTGATCAACAGGTAAGTATATTGAACCAAAACTTTTAAAGACAAGTAATTTCCTGACAATTAAAAGTGTTATATAGCTCACTGAATCATACTCAGACTTAAAGGGGTCATATGATGCGATTTCAAGTTTTCCTTTCTCTTTGGAGTGTTACAAGCTGATTGTGCATAGATAAGATCCCTGAAGTTGCAAAGACTAAAGTCTCAAAACCAAAGAGATATTCTTTATCAAAGTTAAGACTCTGCCACGCCCCCCTAAAACGGCTCGTTCTAACACGCCCCACATATCTACTCAAAAACTATGGACTTGTGATAAGGCTCCTGAAATAATCAGGTCTGCACTTTAAGTTTTCATTTAGTGATGAGTGAGTTTTTTCTAGAAAACGAGCAGGAGAAATAACATGCAAGTATCTCAGAGCCGGCAAAAGCTGTGAAAAGAGTGACACTTTATCTCACAGAGTATGACGCAGCCTGCAGAAGGGACATGCATGGTTGTTGTCACCACTAGAATTACCTACTTTAGCCAAAGCACAATAAACTCGTTTAACCTCTTCCAGGGCCCATGTTTACAAAATAGAGACTTCTGGGAATCCATACTCTGGTCTCAAGAGACCAAGTCAATCATTTCAGATCCAAAAGCATCCAAAATGTTCTGGTGTTGCTAGAGGAGGAGTACAG